GAGAAAGGGAATCAGAATCTGATTCCCGATTGTAGGTAGAATAGTGTTACTCCATATTTAGAATGTTAAGTGCTTCAATATACTTATTCGTGGCGTGAAAGTCCTTGAATCCTCTACCCCTTATCTCTACCACTTACCTGCGTTCTGTAGAGTGTTAGAATTTCGCTGCTCTTTCGTATGGAACGAATAATATCAAAATCGTACGGGCCACGTGATGCAATACACACTAAGACAAAGGCAGCCTGGTGGACAGAAAGATTAGATGGGCGACTTTTCGGTCGCCCAGCAAATGAGGCGATTCCCCTCCGCGTCCAGACCGCCCAAGTCAGCAAGGATGATGAAGGGGCAGAGGATTTGGGAAGGGGTATATTAAGCACACTTGTTTCGTGCGAGAGAACCGGGGGAGAAGGAGGAGGTGGGGAGTTGTGTTGAAAGAAATTTTCCTTGAGTGGGGATAAAAATAGAAAGTCCAGGAATAGAGCGTCTAAAAAAGGTAGCTTAATGGATAAAAATAGAAAGTCCAGGAATAGAGCGTCTAAAAAAGGTAGCTTAATATAGACATAGTAAAAGAACTTACTAGTTTGTTACAAGACTTAAGTCTAAAAGACCGGCATGACGCTGAAAAAAAGCAACAATTATCAATGCCACTATTGACAACTACAGTTTCGAAACACCCAGCCTGGGCTGGCAGCGGTATACTTCGAATCCGACATCTTCGCTTTGAGGCACGCCCCGATGTCCGAGATCTTGACCTTGAACATGTTAACACGCTGATTCACAAGTTCAAAACGGATCCATCTGGCTGCGAACCCTTTTTACCACGCAATCGTGTGCCAGTTATCTCCAGCAGGTCCCAGATCCGCCACATACTCTCTCACAACCGGGTTACTCTTCAACGTCTACGTTCAATCAACCCACCAAGGTTAGATCTCTCGACGGAAGAAGTAGTAATATGCCTGCATGGTCGACATCGTCTGGCTGCTGCAGAGGGGTATCTCGAACCAGCTGAGCAATGGTGGGGAGTGGAATTTTATTATGAGGAAGGTTTGTTTGATCTTCGCTTATAGCGGCTGACACCACTAAAGACGTACAGATCTAGTAGGAAGGGAGCGGGACTCTATTCGGTGTACGGACCAGGGAGAGCAGCCTTACAATCATGGAACTATCTTCCAAAATATCCGTCACCTTCGAAACAGCGAACAGAGAGAGCAAGCCGATTGGTGGTGGGCCAAACTTAGTGAGAGTTGCAGTCGAGATCTAAAGCAGTTTCAGGATGGAGAAATCTTTACGTCCTTCAGAGAAGCCCTTGATAATCTCTTACCGTACCGTGGCTTGTGGTATTCGTTCCACTTGGGTGTCTTCCATCGGCTGCTTCCTATGAAGCTTTTGGAGGTTAGTCATTCTATTTTATTAACTTATATCTTTACTGAATAATATAGGAATACACACACTACCTCAAATTTATGTCCGATGTTTGGGGAGAGATCTTGGGTGATGTCAGCCCCCAGCACCTGGACTTAGAAACAGTTAGATACTTAGAAGGTCGCTCGCCGTATTACTCGACTGAGGATCAACTTTTCATACGATCGTATTTTGAGTCGAAGCTACTTTTTCCTTCTGTGACAAGTTCATCAACCCGAGATCAGATTCAGGCACGGGTCTGCGCAATCAAAACCATTATTCCGTCACTGCGGACATTCCAGGAAGACACTATATGGCTCGAACCCTGTTGGAAAATCTTACGAAAGCTTTTACCGCCAAAGGCGAAAGGAACCCTTCAAAAGGAGCTTCGAAAGTCGTACACTCGTCTCAAGAATAGGCGGTTACCCGTCCAGACGACCGAATCAACGATAAATATACGACCAGGCATAGATGGATCTGGCTTTTGGTTTGCATACCGTCAGTTGATTTTGATCGCTCAGCGCCATTTCCCTTGTATGACAGAAATCAGACCGAGAAAGGGACGGAAAAGGGGCGAGATAAAAGCAAGGTATTGTCATGTGTTTCAAAAAACAGGTTCATGCTGGAGTCATCTTGCACGTCTGGCGCTTCAACTAGGGTTCTCGAACGACAGTATCAAAAAGCTGCTTAGGAGAGATTCAACCCTTGAAATGTGCGTGGATCCTCTCCCTGAGGAAGCAAGTCCTCAGGTCACCGTTAATACCAAGGAGCGGTGGCGAATTGAAGGTCGTTGCGGCCGAGTTTTTGAACGAGCCTTCCACAATGATCGAAGGTTTATATTCCTGGACTATATTTATTCCGACATTGAGATCAACCCAAGACAGGCGATCACATCGTTTGGGACATTTCGTCACATTTTTCACGCTTTCTTTGGGAGCTCTGTGCCATTTGCAGAGAGCTTTCATTCCAAGTCACCGAGGGAGCAATCTTGTAGTCTCAATGCGCCACATTATTCTCCTGACATCTCGCCATCGGGATCGGTCAAGTCTCGTACTCAATCGACTCCCGACCAAGACATCGATATGGTGAATCTAGACGATGGGGAAGACGGCGAAGACGGCGAAGATTTCGACGATGGTAGTAATGGTAGCAGCAACGGTAGCTATGACGATAGCGATAACAAGAACGACGACAACGTTTCCATGCAAGATGCCTCAAGCCTACCTGTCATACAGCAAGTCTAAGTCAGACAGGGAAAAAGCACTGAAGGTGGTCTTGCGCTAATCATGCCTATGCAAGATGCCTTAAGCCTACCTGTCGTGCAGCAGGTCAAAGTCGGACAGGGACAAAGCACTGAAGGTGGCCTTATGGTGATCATGCCTATGTACGGTATGATTGAGTCTTTGGCATCCCAGGGTGATAAACACTCCACTACCTTCTTCCCTAGTGGAGGAGGGACAGGTTCTACCAATTACCCCGTCTCCATCTCTGCTGAAAATACCACTTTACCCAAAGAAGCCCGGGAGATTGTTTTGTCCCGATCTCCCACGAATGAGGCCATCTCCACCTCTGGTGAAAATACCACTTTACCCAAAGAAGCCCGGGATATTGTTTTGCCCCGACCTCTCACAGATGACGAAACTAACCCGCATGATCCTACTAAGCACACTACTATCTTTCCGGGTGCAAGAAGCCCACAGCCTCCGCAGTCTCTGAACATGGACTTCCAATTCCCCTCTGGTAGTCCAAAAGATTCCCACGAAGCATCGCCTTCGAACAGGCGTAAGCGAAAGTCACCAGAATCACCAATGGTTCCCGTCTCGTCGAATCCCGATGATCCCCTCACACTTCAAACCGGAATTGAGCAAGTTCCATATTTGCTAGAGCGCCTTCAGACTACCGAATCTCAGATTCCGCATTGTCTCGTGTTTGTATCTTCAACTGAGCCGACCGGGTATGAGTGGGTTTTCCATAATCAGATACGTAATTCGCAAGACCTAGAGTCGATCTTACAGGAATTAGAGAAGAGGGGAATGTTTTTCACGTTTGGAGATCTTACAAAAAGGCAGTTCAGCACAATAAGTGTAGAGGGGGCTGTCACCTTTTTACAAGCAGGTACTCCCATCTTCGTACACCTCCCTACTATCAACTTCAGGAATGGTTTCCCATCCCCTCTTAACGAATCTGAGAGAACCTTTGACCCCGAGATCCCTCGTTGGAATACGGAGCTTCACAGGTGGACGTTGACTTCCAAGAAATCCAAAGGCTCTCCGTCGACAAGAGAGGAAATTCATAGCGATTCCACAGAGCTTTAGCAATGTAATTTTTATGATTTGATATCCCTTATGTCCCTGAATATGGGACCCTGCCTTATAAGAATAGCGTTCCCGTGAGCTTAAAGTCGATTTACCGTGAGGATTATGCTGCAGCCTTGGCAGAAAGAACACCAAAGTTGATTTGTGCTCAAATGCAAGGGCAGGCAAGAGCAGGGTCACAAGAGGATAAAGCTATTTCTGTAACACCACGTTTTGTATATCCAATTCCTAATAAGGAAGTCATAACAGCGTCAATAAATAGTGTAGATTTCTATGCAAAATCATCATATTATTCAAATGGTCAAAGTGGGTAGATTTGCTAACAATTTGTATGACATAATACCCGCCAAGACGCAAACGCCGCATACGCCGTCGCGAATGCACCGCCGCGAATGCATTCCGCCTTTAATCGGCCTGTATGATGTTGCAGCTAGCCGAATGGATGATCTGTCATTTTTTCGACGTTGAGTTAGCGAGACAATCACTGATGACTCAGGATTCTGTCCTTGGAGATGTCAATTGCATCATGCGCCGAAATGGACATACTGCGCCCAGTAATGCGCCGAAATGGACATACTGCGCCCAGTACAGTGGTCGTTTCCCATACTCATCGCCTTCGCAAACTCCCTTGACAGCCTTATGCAATGCCAGCGCAATAGCCCTATCTTTGTGTCCACGTCCCCCATATTGACCGAGCTCGGAGTAGAACGACTTCGCAACCTGCACACATACTCGATCACTCGACGGCCACAGACACCCGATCACATGCCTGAACCCAGCGACTTGAAATCCACTGACGACATGAAGTGCCTCATCTACCAGCTTTGCAGCCCGGTTCTCAGCAGTCGAACATGCGGAAAGGTACGCAATTTCAGCCCGAGGGAGATAGGCTTGACATACTTCGCGAACACGGAGGATATCCTGTCTTGGCTTTCCAGCGGCCGTCCCGGCTGTCTGCAGTAACAGACCACTTTCTGAAGGGTCAGTCTGGTTTGACACTCCGTGGCAAGCAAGATGCGCGATGTTGCATTTTTGAATCTGTTCCATGACGGTAGCGACATCGGGTTGGTCTAGGGCTGTTATGTGCCAAGGGCCTCCTAACGCTGCTGTCACCACAGATTTCTCTTCGCTCGTTCCCGGAAGATCTTTGGCATCGGGTGTCTGGGGCATAGTGACGATTAGTGCTTTTGGACGGTCACTACGTGAAACAGCCGTCATATGAACAGGTCCTCTAGCATGAATCAGCGCCTTGATAGACGGGCTGTAGGACGAAATGACACGATCATAAGCACTTTCTGTCACTCCAGCAGAGCGATCGCTTGCCGCATGAAATGGGAAAGAGCTGGCAAGTCCAGTTCCGATCCACCATATTCTTGGTAAGCTTTCTGCGGAATACTGAATAGGATAACGTAGCTCATCTAAGATTGGTTTGATGCATCTTTGCCACAACCATGATAAAAATTGGCGGAAATACTTTTGTTTCTGGCCATGGTCGTCCGACGAAAACGCGGTAAGGTTTTGATTGATCCAGCTCTCTGCTTGGATCGCCGACGAAAACGCGGTAAGGTTTTGATTGATCCAGCTCTCTGCTTGGATCGCATCGAAATGGACAAGAGGGAGAGCTTTGAAGCCATTTGGAGTTATGATGATGGCGTCGCCTCTGAGATCAGTAAGATTTATGAAAACAATGCAGCCGTCCGCTGAAGAGTCTTGCATCTGCCTGGCAGTAAGTCCTTTTTGGAATTGGCTGAAGTCCGGAAGTTGTTGAATAACTCGTATGCATTCATTTAGTTCCTCAATTGCCTTTGTCCGTCTTTCAAGAGCCATATTGCGTGTGCGCTGGTCTGTGGCACTTTCAACAGGGGTGTTCACTTCCGAGCGAAGATTCTCATAACGCCCACAAAGTTCGGGATAGGCTGCTTCTAGCTCGGATATGTCGCTCCGATCATCGATCAGGAGACTAAGAATGAGGCCGCGTCCTCGCTCTAGGATATCTGCAGCCTTTTCTGGCGGTTCTCCTAGCTCTAACGCAAGAGAGCAGGCACTTGTGGCTAGTCCAGAGAAATCAGAGACAACATATTGTTGGTCCTGGTGGCTCAAAGATCTGTTATGTATGAGTGGTAGGAGATCGATAGTTTCTGTCGATAGCTTGTAAGCACGTTCGTGGTCGCCTCGACTTTGAAGCAGTTGCACTGCCAGGGCAGAGGATCTGACACGAACCGACGGAATCGCACTGTGACAACTCCAAGCGTGCAAGAGAGCTTTTAAGGCTTCAAGGCTGTTAGAGGGCCTGGACGATAGGAGATGATGTGCTAAGGTGTGCAGCCTTCCTGCTAGATTAGGATGGTCATCCGGCGTGATCTCGACCGCCTGTCGTGCTACTCGGATTGCCTCTTCCAGGTCCTCTATCTTGCCCATCCATTTGTATCGGCTTTCGAGTTTGTTTCCCAGATTGTTCAGCCAAGTTGCTAGATCAGGATGATCGTCTGGCGTGACCTCGATCGCCTGTCGTACTACTCGGATTGCCTCTTCTAGGTCCTCTATCTTACCTATGTGATTGTATCGGCAACCTAGTGTGTTTCCTAGGTTATTTAGCCTAGCTGCCAGCTTAGGATAGTCGTTCGGAGTAACCTCAACCGCCTGTCTTGCTACCCGGATTGCCTCTTTCAAGTCCTCTATTCTGCCTATACGTTCGTATTGGCGACTGAGTTTAGTTCCCAGGTTGTTCAGCCAAGCTGCCAGATCAGGATGGTCATTAGGTGTGACCTTGACCGCCTGTCTTGCTATTCGGATTGCCTCTTCTAGGTCCTTTATTCTGCCCGTGCGTTCGTATCGGCTTTCGAGTTTGTTTCCTAGATTATTTAGCTCAGCTGCCAGCTTAGGATGGTCGTCCGGCGTAACCTTAACCGCCTGTCTTGCTACTTGGATTGCCTCTTCCAGGTCCTCTATTCTGCCCGTACGTTCGTATTGGCGACCGAGTTTATTTCCTAGATTGTTTAGCCTTCCTGCCAGATCAGGATGGTCGTCTGGCGTGATCTCGACCGCCTGTCTTGTTACCCGGATTGCCTCTCCCAGGTCCTCTATTCTGTCTGTACGTTCGAATCGGCGACCGAGTTTAGTTCCTAGGTTATTTAGCCTAGCTGCTAGATTAGGATGGTCGTCCGGCGTGACCTTGACCGCCTGTCACAAGAACGATGAATGACGACGCACGGGAAGTCAGTTGTTCAGCCTTCCTGCCAGATCAGGATGGTCGTCTGGCGTAACCTCAACCGCCTGTCTTGCTACTAGAATTGCCTCTTCCAGGTCCTCTATCTTACTTGTGCGTTCGTACCAGCTTTCGAGTTTGGTTCCTAGATTGTTCAGCCTTTCTGCTAGATTAGGATAGTCGTCCGGCGTGACCTTGACCGCCTGTCGTGCTACTCGGGTTGCCTCCTCTAGGTCTTCTATCCTGCCCGTGCGTTCGTATCGGCTCTCGAGTTTGGTTCCTAGATTGTTTAGCCCAGCTGCTAGATTAGGATGGTCGTCCGGCGTGACCTTGATCGCCTGTCTTGTTACTCGGATTGCCTCTTCAAGGTTCTCTATCTTGCCTGTGCGTTTGTATCGGCTTTCGAGTTCGGTTCCTAGGTTGTTCAGCCTTCCTGCCAGATCAGGATGGTCGTCCGGCGTGATCTTGACCGCCTGTCTTGTTACTCGAATTGCCTCTTCTAAGTCCTTTATTCTGCCTATACGTTCGTATTGGCAACTGAGTTTGTTTCCTAGGTTGTTCAGCCAAGCTGCCAGATCAAGATGGTCGTCCGGCGTGACCTTGACTGCCTGTCTTGCTACTTGGATTGCCTCTTCTAGGTCCTTTATTCTGCCTGTGCGTTCATAGTGGTGACCGAGTTTATTTCCTAGGTTGTTTAGCCCAGCTGCTAGATTAGGATGGTCGTCTGGCGTAACCTCGACCGCCTGTCTTGCTATTCGGATTGCCTCTTCTAGGTCCTTTATTCTGCCTGTGCGTTCATATTGGTGACCGAGTTTATTTCCTAGGTTGTTTAGCCCAGCTGCTAGATTAGGATGGTCGTCTGGCGTAACCTCGACCGCCTGTCTTGCTACTAGAATTGCCTCTTCCAGGTCCTCTATCTTGCCTGTGCGTTCGTATCGGCTCACAAGCCCAACCGCTAAGTTGTTCAGCCTTTCTGCCAGATGTTTATGCCTGTAAGTTGTTCTCTCTACGGCCAGTTTTGCTTTTTCAATAGATTCTTCTAAATCTTTCATTTGTCCCCAACGGAAAAAGCGCTTAAGTCTTAGCGCAGCATAGTGTGAACATAACTCTATCTTAACATCTTCATCACCTCTAGCCAGCAAAGTCGAGACAGAATCAAAGTCCTGTAGTAAATAATCCTCGAAAATCTTATAATCATCCATAATTTTCAGGTTCAGAGATATCTAACAAAGACAGTAAGATAATATAGTTGAGAGGTTCTGTTAGGCCACGATTTTGGTAGAAGAATCTGACAGAATCCATTAGCCTTGCTGCTATTCAGCTGGCCATGGTATGTGGCGCAGCGCAATCTATTAGCCTTGCTTCGATTCAGCTGGCCATGATATGTGGCGCAGCGCTAAGTTAGACGCAATCGGTCTACGTGTCACCTGTGGCTGTGCTCGCTTGACAGCACCATAAATGAAATGCTACCAACTATCTCACCGGCTGGTTTTCACAAGACACTGCTACTGTCAAAATATTTGAATCATTAGACAATGCCTACGAGCGTTCTTCTCCCCCAGCTCTTTCTTCCTCGGTCAGCTGTTAATCTTGGGCGTTTTGTTACCAATGTTGATGAGCCTCATCAAAATTTCTACGATGCTAATACTGCTTCCGATGTAACAGAGAAAGTCCAGACACAGTATGACAGCCTCCATCGTTCTGCTACTCAACGAACCTTTGCCTCAGATCTTACCAGCCTTCTCTCCTCCTCTTTCTCGAAGCGATCTAAAACGTCAATTCGGATCATAGCCGACCAGGTGAAAACCTACTATTTAAACAATACTAGCAGGTGGTTTAGGGAGGCGGTGCAATCGGAAGAGACCCGCAGGTGGATTGAGAAAACTATTGACGAAGGGGAAGTTATATACGTCGTGGTCGGCTATCACACGATATTTGACGCTCAGATCATGGAACAATATGGTGGGCAAGGCACTTCTGATGGCAACTTGGGAATACCGGTATCGACAGCACTGGCCGCAACAGGCATAGTTGTGCCATTCGGAAACCTGGTTGATCCTGGTCTTGCAGGTTCTCGTGGGCGTGCAGAAGATGAGCAGAGGCGATTTGTAGCTCAAGGCGAGCAGATTTGTGCTGTCCAGTATCGCAAACTCCGTCTTCGATGGCTTGCAAGCAGTAAGCTGGACAAGATGAAGCTTGCAAAGGGGACGCGGTGGGAAAGGTACGATCGGCCACGATACTTGGAGAGCGATGGAGAGGATATGATCGAGGTCGAATTAGAGGACGATTTAGCGTTGGAAAACGATCGTGAGGAGTGTAAGGTTGGACTGGAGGAAGACATTTTCTTTTCTACAGTCCTTGAGGTTTAGGGGATCGTATACAACGAGGACTACGGAGACCCAACGGATTTCCAATTAGCGCCATCAGAGTCAATGCAGAATTCATAGCTTAGATGAAACCACAGAACTATAATGACAATGTCGAAGTACCCCGGTACAAGCAGCAAAACTTGAAATATGTTGATTGGAAGATGAGATCTGATGCCTTGACCTAATTTGGCTATTTGCTATGCAAGAGAAATGCTCTTCCCATTTTGTGGAAGCCGATCCTGTAACGTACTGTACGGAGAGTGGACTGGTACGGAGAGTGGATTGGTACGGAGAGTGGATTGGTATGCAGAATGAATGAAGAATCCGAAGAATCCAGCAGTTTTTGATAGTCGTAGTCCGACTTATTGGATGCCAGGGTTGTCATTTCGCCTAACGGCAATTGAGGGATGCCACACTGCTCTTGTCGATCCTGGGCACGTAAAGCTTCTGGAAATGCCTTCAGCTATCCTAGGATATTCCTGGGCAAAGATCTCTACAGCCTGTCCTTTACATGTAGTGGAGCTGTGTCCGTTCTCCTTCCAAAGGGCTACATGGCCCAGGTGCGCTTACCTGTATCCGACACAGCATCGATCGCTCGTTGACTCTCCACCACTTGACTTCTGGGTATGGTCTGCAAAAGCTCTTTGGCATACGATGCCGCCGTTGCTGCCGCGTAGCCTTGCCATTCATCGTTCTTGTGCGAGTCCGAGTAGTCACAGATTCCTCGAATGACGACGCACGGGAAGTCATATTGGGTATGAGCCTTCAACCTTGCAGACTGCAGGCCTTCTTTCCATGTCTAAGTTACAACATTTGGGCCCATATTCTATCCCCTATAAACAACATCTCATTATTGCAATTCGGCAAATAAAAATCTTGTCCATGAATACTCAATAGACGGCGGCGGGGAATCAGTCATTATCTTCCTTCAGGGAGTACAGCTCTATAGCATCCGACTACAACACCAAAATAAGATCAACAGCCGCATTCTCACAGGTAGAGAAAGAAGAAGTAAACGCTATACAAACACGTCAACGCCGTGCGCAGCACCCTTTGACGGAAATATTCCGTATGTAAAGGCAACTAATATTTGAGGTAGACTGACAACGATTCCAGGTTCGCTTCCAGCAGAGATCCGTTGGGGCAGCACCAAACAAGAAATTCATGGCAGCCTTGGCACATGTTTGGTCTGATACACGAACGAGTCCCACTAACCATGGATGGCCAATTAGACGTAGAGCAGTAACCAATGTTTAATGCGTCACCTCAAACATTGGTCACTAACCTGCATCTAATTAGCGGACTTTCGAGCCATCTTTTGTAAGCGCTGTGAAGTGTGCGGATGTGAGTTGTGCCCTCTCCCTTTACTGACTTTGCTCTCCCTACCAACTACGAGAAACAATGTTTGACCATAACAACAGAATGACACTGGGAAGCATCAAATTTTCTGCCACTAGGTTCAAGAAGTTCCCAGCAAAGACTCGAAAAACTGGCATACGTACTGTTCAACGAGCCATCGCCTTTGGAGGCTGTTTGGTCTGAAGAATAGCAACATTAAGTGCAGTCCGTTTGTGCGCCATCCAAATATTATCATCCCTTCCGACATGAAGTCAGTTGGACGTTACCTGGGTACTCTGGCCTTGTGGGAGCACATGTCGCATCGCAGAATCTCCATGCATCCGTGCATGACTTAGAATCACTGCAAGACTTTGCCTGGACAGTGGCACACGCTACCAAATGATGAGGGCAAGATACACAAGGGAGAACTACACCTAGAGAACTCACATGAAGTGTTTGAACGACTTCGTAGCCGCCCTGGACCTAGAAAAAGCACGATAAAATATCACAGTCGCCAATGAGCTCCTTAACCACACTACGCCTCCATAAGGCTTAGCTGGTCTACCTAATCTACCCTATAGTGGATCATCACCGTTCTCTGACCCTACCACCGTCACAACTAGCGCCATTTTTCTTTGGATAAACCCAGATCCTAGGCTTGCACAGGCACTCCAAGCGGCACACTTGTACCTCCATACTCGCAACAACGCCAAAAAGATCTATCTTGGATCACAGATGGTTCCAGTAGGTTCACAGCCTGTTACGTATATCCGCAGATGGATTCCGTGAAGGGCCGGCTGAAGGGATCGTGTCGGCATGAGATCGCGCCAAATTTATATCTCTCCAATCAACAAAGCCGACGCGTTCTATGCACCCTGCAGCTGCGGCGCTTCATCGGCCTCTCAGGATCATTAATCAGGTCTGTTTCTGACCGCTTGTGATGTTGCTGTGGATAGGGAGGTGGCCGTGGACCGTCACTGCGTCCGGTTGCTTCAGAAGTCTGTCGCCACTTGGTGCTAGCTTTGCCCGCCTGTGATGGGGTCTCAGCCCATTGCCGAACCTTGGGATCGACCCTCTGCAGCTCATTTTCAGGGTACTGTGTCAGTACGGAAGCGTCTGTCTGCGAGACCTCGACATGCTCTGGATGTGGCTGTTACGACATGAAACTAACGTCTACGCTAGACTCGTGAGGTGATGTACGTACAGAGTAGGACGTGGCCAAAGTACGATGAGAAGAGGAGGAAGAGCTTAGGGGATGTTAGGGTTCTTATACCTGGACAATACGACCCATCCTTGTTGCACACCAAAGCGAAGTTGTACTTAGCGTAAGTCTCCAGCCTCTCATCCCAGTGACAGCGAGCCAATAACCGGCAGCGCTCACGGATACCAACGCTGCCCTGATCAGAGCCAGATTCGTTCATCAGGCACCTAACGACGCGCCTGGCATCAATTCTGTCACATCTGATCCCTTTAATAACGACTTTGATCCTTTTGACGAGGACTTTGACCACGTCTACATTGACAACGAACTCGGATATGACCCGAGTAAGGGCTCTAAAGAGACTGACGAAGCGTCGGCCATCTCTACGTCGCCTCTAGAGCGACCACGGTTGAGGGTAAGCTCAGAAAACCCATACAAAAATCAACGGCCTTGGAGAGTATTTGCTCCTGCGGGCGAATACCCAGATAACGAAGAGGAATAGGAGGAATAGGACGGTTTTACCGACTCAATTTCTACAACTATTTCTAACATTCCACCTCCTCTAATTGGCTTATTCGAATCTCGAGACGAAGCTCAACGATCTATTCAAGAATAGGCTCAGGCCTACGGCTATGTGTTGAGAGTTCGCACCTCAAAGCGGCGTCAAAAAAATAATGTTTATCTCTATGCTGTGTACTTCAAATGCGACCACGCAGGCCGAAATAAGCCCTCTATAAAGGTTGATAGCAAGCAGCTTCGAAAGAGCTTTTCAAGGCAACAAGAATATTTATTTCGTTATATAATTAGACAGTCAAAGAAAGAGCTTAATAGCCTATAAAGTATAAAGCATTATTAAGCGCCTTATAATAAGCATAATCATAATTCATCTTATTTATCAACTGCTTACTTTATCTACTATTAAAATATAAGAAATAGCAGGCCAAAGCTTCTTAGTCAGATTCAAAATAACAAGCTAGCTTAAATATCTATAAGAGAGACCCTTTTCTTTATACAAAAACAGTTCTCTAAGGCACCTCTGACTCTTCGAGATGTTAAGAATATTTATAATAAATTTAAGCAAACGTTAAATTATGGTTTACTAGTTATTCAAGCTATAATATCGAAGCTTAGTGATAAGTATTAATTTCAGTACGTTCTTAATAATTATAAACGTTTAGAAAGAGTTCTCTTTTTTTATAATGCCTTTTTACAGCTTTTACGTCTGTTTCTAAAAAGCTATATGCTTAATACTATATGTTACAAATCCTCCCGCGATCTACACCAAGGACCATATTTCCTGTGACACTGACCATAGCTCACAGAGCTCATCTCGGACCCAGCTCCCCGCCGCTATTCTAGCCATCACTAACGACAGGTACCCACAGTTGTCTGTACCTGGCCTCAGCGAAATAAGGGGCACAGACATGTATATAGAGCGTTGTGTTCCCACTTTCGTTTCCTTTTCTCCACGCTTCGTCTTGTATATTAGGCCTAACTATAGCTCTCCTGACATTACGAAGCGTCTCACTTATTTTTATCTTCTGGTTCTTAGGTTTGCCTTAACCTACTTTCCCTTTGTCATTATTCCTTGTTGCTTAGTCTGGGCAGTGGAAGAACCACTGCCTCTCCTTCTTTTATCCTGTTCCACGTCCTTTCTTCCTCAGAAGAGTCCGAGATCTCCCTTGAGTCCTTTTTATCTGTAGAAGCTATAGCTAACGCCCAGATACGTCTTGACGACGACATAGTCGACCTACAAGAACCCTCTCACATACCTATCCCTACGCATAGTCCGGCTCCGATTTACACTCCCTAGCCCTCTGAGCACCCAGCCCAAGATCTGACTCAAGGCCTAATGGCCCAGACCTTGTTAGCGATAGCCACAGTCCTATAACAGAATTAATAACTCCAGCATACACCTGCGAAGTCGGAAAAGACTACAGACGTTCCTATATTTAGTGGCCTAGGGCCTAACATCTACAAAGACCTAGAGAAGTTTAGGGTGGGCCTCACTTCAAAATTCAGAGTTAATGCTGACAGATACCCCACACCTATGTCACGTATTCACTACGCATTCTCTCGACTTACAGATCGTGCCTCAGACGTCGCTCTAGATAACGTCAACGAAGGGATCTATCTGGATTAGGTAGATCTAATCAAAGAACTAAAGCTCAACTTCAGTGATGCTGACCCGGAGTACTCTGCCATCTGCCGTCTCGTAAAGATGAGGCAAACGCACCGACCCTTCTCCGAATTCTACCTAGAGTTCAAGCAGACCACTAGAAGAACACCATTTCAGGACCATAGTCTTAAGGGACTGCTCTGACTTGCACTATCTAAGGAACTCACAGAGAAGCTGGCCATAGTTGACGTCAGAGACATGTCATATAAAGCCTTCGTCCAAGAATGCACTCGGCAGGACAACCTACTACGCGCCGCGCTGTCATAACAGACAACCAGGTCATGGAAGCCGCCTATGAGTAGCGTAAAGGCAAAATCAAACATGAAACGAGACCTACTCGGCTAAGCTATCTTTACTGGTAATTTTGACCTCAGTCATTAGCTGGTCATTGATAGACAAGACAATCCGGCGGACAGATTTCAAGAAAAGCAAGAATGTCAACACAATCTAAGTCTTTGTTACTACTGCGCAGGCCCGGACTACAGAGCTAATGCATGCCCAGAAAAGCTAAAGCTACAGAGCAACCTTCGTACTGTCTCTTCTACGCCTACTATAGCGTCCTTAACTCTGGTGTTTACTCTAGCAACCTTGTAAGCAACTATACTTATTGCCTTAGCCTCCCTCGCCCCTCTTCCTCTGTCCGGCAGTTGTGTTAATACAAAGTTATTAAATAAAGCAACCCTGAACTAAGTCGCGTTTAGGGAATTAAGAAGAGGTTAGCTACTACTGATATAGTAAATAGCCTAATAATATGATTAGATTCTATTTCTTTACATTTAGCGGACCTTCCTCTTAACTCTAAGTGCCTCTTAATTAAGTATAGCGTTAGACAATTTAAATATTAAGCCTTAATTGACTCTAGCTGTTCTGTAATAGTATATATTAGTGAAGCTTTTGTATAACTCTTCCCTTATAAAAAATTAGAAAGTCAAAGAACTATAGTAGGCTTTGACAATTAGACCTTTATAATAACCTATATTGCCAAAGTTCCCCTGTCCTTTGTACCTTCTAGTATTTATTAAGAAGTCTTATTAATATTCGTTATCCCTAGACTAAAATATAATATTATTCTTAGAATGCCCTAGCTTAAACAATATAATCTAATAATAGATTAGGTACTAGAGACTATTATATATAATATAGAATACTATTATAATTATTATCTTCAGAAGAACAAAGAATACCCTATTACTTTTGAAGCTATATAAAGAGCACAAAATAACAAACCCTAAGTCTAAAGATAAATAAAAGCTATAGATATAATTATAATACTAATTATAATAAGAGTAATAGCCTTTTTAAGCAAGCGAAGAGACTATAAAGTCTTTATAATATTATTAAGAGACATCAAGAAGGCCCTAAAACCTAAAGAAATCATAAATCCTTAGACCAGACTTCCTAAGTAATATTACAAGTTCCTGTCCTTATTTAATAAAGCTGCTACTAATAAGCTTCTATTATACCGCCCTAGAGTAAATTACAAGATTAAGTTATTACTAAATACTAAACTACTGTCCGGAGCCCTATACAGCATGTCTAGAAATGAATTAGAGGTCTTAGACAAAACACTAAAAGACTACCTATCAAAGAACTGTATTTGCGTATATAAGTCCCCTGCTGCTACCTTAATCCTATTCGTTAAGAAACTTAGAAGAGGTCTACAGTTTTGTATAGATTACCAGGGTTTAAACGCTATTATAGTTAAGAATAGATACTTGCTTTCTCTGATTTAAAAAACTTTAGACAAGCTCTACAAAGTTATATAGTATACTAAGTTAGACATTATTAACTGCCTTTTACAGAATCAGAATAGAAATGAATAAAAAATAGCCTTCTGTATATATACAGGCTTATACAAATAGAACGTGGTTCCCTTTGGCCTCTGCAACGCTCTAGCCTCCTTCTAGAACTACGTTAATAATGCCCTAGGAAAGAATATCCTAGACCGATTCGTCTCAGCGTATCTTGATAATATCCTAATCTTTAGCAACTCGCTAAAAGAGTACTGCTAACACGTGAAGACAGTACTAGGCAGATTAGTCATCGCTAGACTACAACTCGACATAGGAAAATGCGAATTCGAAGTTCACGAGACGAAATACTTAGGAATGATCATTCAGAGCCATTCAGAAGATGGCAAACCCGGACAAATACGTATAAACCCAGAGAAGATAGCTGTAATTCGAGATTAGGAGAAGCCTAATAATATGAAAGACATACAAAGTTTTATAGGATTTGCGAATTTCTATTATTAATTTATTAAAGGATTCTCAAAGATAGCCTTACCCCTGACTAAGCTTACCTGAAAAGACGTCTCTTTTAACTAGGGAGAGGAAGCCAAAAAAGCGTTTTAGACGCTAAAAGACATGTTTACAAGCTCCTTAGTCCTACAGCACTTTAACCCTGACTTACCCTGCACTATAGAGACTGACGCCTTAGACAATGCGTGCAGAGGAGTCCTGTTTCAACCTAATAATAAGGAGATCCTGCAACAACAATTCTATTAGCCAAAGATGATAGACTTAGTAAAGGAACAGCTAGCCAAATGTCCTATATACTGTCGCACAAAACCCTCTCGCGAGCGCTAAGGTCAACTGCAGGCACTAAAGCCGCCTAAGAAACAGTGGCAACACCTAGCTATAGATTTCGTTACAGACCTCCCTGAATCTAATAGCATTTTCCCTAGCGCCACAAGCATTTAGGTCTTGATAAACTAATTAACTAAGGAGAGACACTTAGCGCCCTGTTATAACATAAAAATAGAATATCTGATCAGGATGTTTATTCACTTTATTATTCGCAGCCATGGCCTCCCTGAGTTAATAGTATCTAATAAAGGTCTATAGTTTGTCAGTAAATTCTAGAATAGCCTATGTAAAAGGCTAGGTATTAAAGCGAAACTATTCACTGCGCATTACCTAGAAACAGATGAATAGTTAGAACAAGTTAATCAAGTAATAAAGACTTATCTACAAAGCTATATTAACTATATATAAGACGACTAGGCTAAATAGATCATATTAGCTGAATTTGTTATAAACAACTATAAGTTAAAATTTATAAGCATGTCCTTATTCTTTGTTAATAAAGACTTTAATCTTAAGATAAGCTTTAATTAAGCTAAGACCCCCCTTAACCCCTATATAGAAGATATCTTAATATTTATAAAAGAACTCTTAGACCATTGCTACACAGAACTAGTTTAGAGCTAAGCGAAAACCATAGATGCAGTAAATAGAAATCAGAGACGATACCCTGCCCTAGTATACTATAAAGGAGATAAAGTATGGCTGAACACCAGAAACATTCGTACACGACAACTA